AAAGATTTAGAAATATTGTTATCTATTCTAATTTATCTCTGAACAATCCTACAATGTGTAAATATTTGAACCAAAACATGAGAAAAAATAATGAACCAACAATGTGTAATCGTCTTCAAAAATTAACCACTGTACGTATATATAATGGAACAGTAATAGGTGCATAACGTATTTCAAAAGAATCACATCATTAGGCATATTTTGGCTATAGGGTTTCGATAAATGTACAAGGATGTTGCTGAATTTGACCAACAACGCTTCACATCAGATGAATCGAATTGTGGTTGAATATATTGTTCTTTGCAATTACTCAAAGCTGTTGAATTCAAGTAAGTAAGTATTCGAAATACTTCCCAGCAAACACAGTTATATCACAGAGATATCGCAGAGATGTAAGAATTATGACCTGCGATATCGCATTCTATATTGCATAGTCGTTGCTGCGATGTCCAAGGGATGTTATTTTGTCCCAATCAAGTTTCATCCATGCGACGTTCCTGCTATAAGTTCTCTGCGATATAACAGCGATATATTTTTTACAATGTAATTGCGATATGTTATTTGTGATGGAGAAGCGATGTTTTCGCGACGAAACTACGATGTGATGCGAGATGACGTAAAAAGTTTCCTCAAACATAGGGTGATAATACACCTCTGATCTCTGATGACATCTAATAATATTGATTATGCATTGTTGTGACTTGTTGGTAGCCTCATGGGTCTCCTGTCATTCAATTGTCTTTAGCACCTACACATCTCCATCAGGATGAGTTCAGTTACTCTCATCTGTATCAGAAATTATGTACTAATTAAGTGTCGGCGAGATGTAAGCAAGAATAGTTTGACATAGCAATGTAACGAATGTTTGCGAATTTAGCTTCACTTTGTTGAGTCAGAGATGACAACATGTGTACATGGCAGCAAGGTAAAATTCGTGTTGCAGTGTTGCCCCATCTAAGAGATATCATGTCGCAGATTTTTTTATCTCTTGGAGGGCACGGGAGGAAATTCCATTGACTTGATAACAACCCCTCACAAAGAGAGAACGAAGTGACTGGTGAGCCAAGGGCGACAAGGAGTGAAACTCCTAATTGGAGTTCTAACCGGTCACTGCAAACTCAGCAGACACCTCTCGATAATGTGTATAGTAGAGAACCTAACATGCCTGAGATGTGAGGAAGAAGAAGATACATCTATTCACTTCCTATGAGAATGTGCAGCATTCAGCAGACTAAGATTTAACATTTTTGGAACTGACACGCTTCAGAGGGAAGAGATGAACTCCCTCGAGTCGGTGAACACCCTAGATTTCATCAGATGGTCTAGAGTTTAGAAGGTTCGCCGAAGTAGCCGACTAACGGAGGTAAGGTGTAGGTTTCCTGGGGTCGGCAGAAAGCGCCTATGGGGGCCTACTTGCCTGGCTTGAGCCTCCCCATCATTACTACCACTACTACTGTACATCGCAGCGATGGAACATTCGTAATATCGCAGAGTTGCCTCATAGCGACATCTCAGAGATGTCATGTCGCATATGTGTCTGCTTCTGTACATTGCAGCGATGGAACATTCGTAATATCGCACCCAGGCAGTACAAAGAGATCCTGAAGATATATATATAAGATAAGATGAAAGCCGACATCCTCACCAAATAGGGAACCGAATCTGTGTTCATAGGACCAGAACCATATTTTGGGGTCACCGCAAGTGCGGCGAAAACAACTATAATAATACACCACTGATCTTCCTTTTTTTTTTCCCCGTCTTGTTAACTATAATATGACTGTTATTTTGAGATATCTTAATGATATGTAAGTTTTGTCCACTATTTGTATTTTCAGTTATACAACAGTCGATAATACTTCATGAATGATGCTTATACCAGGAATTACTGTCTGATCATTCATGTCATTCCTACTAGAAAATTTATTATACTTTATATATTATTTGTATTTGTATGAAATGTATCAATAAAGAAGAGAATGTAATGCAATAACTGAAATGAATAAATAAAAATAAATAAGGAATGCTTATTCATTTCCTGTTAGAGATAACCTTAGGACTTCGAAATAATGGGGAATATTTAAAATCGCGATTTCTTTCGGACGACTCCAGAGACAGCCTATAGTGATCTTTGGCACTTCGCAGGAGGATTTCGCATTTTTATCCTGAAGGTAAGATATCGCGGAGAGTTCCGTGTTACCTGGGGCAGTGTTGCCTAATCGCGACATCTGAGAGATGTTATGTTGCAGATGTGTTTGCTTCTGTACATCGCAGCGATAGAACATTCGTGATATCGCTGTGTTGCCTCATCGCGACATCTCAGAGATGTCATGTCACAGATGTGTGGACGGGTTGCATCTTATAGGCAATTTTCATCATTATCAGCAGATAATTACTCACCCATTCCTTTCCAAATGAAACGAAAGCAGATTTCAACAAATTTTAATTAACGACTTCAATAGTGGTGTATATGGTACCTACCAAATATACACACAGTGAATATAGATTGTTGAAAGTGTTGGAGTTAAATCCCAAAATTGTTATAAATATATTCTGCTCTATTTTACATATTATAGATGTTCAACAGCTGTTTTGATTGGATAAATGCAATTTCTGAAGCCAGTGGTCGAGGTTGGTAATGAAAAGGAGGTAGGTGAAAGTGATGAAAGAGTTCTGAAGCCCTGAATAAAAGCTACTGGCAGTACTGACCAGAATTCAATACATTCAATCCATGCGACTTATCCACTTCTTTTCAATGATATCAAGTTAGTGCTCGAATTAGAATCATTTGGAAAGAAAAACGACTGAAGTTTTTTGGAAATTATACTGGGTGTCTCTGAAAGGTCTTTACAGAAACTTACCACATATTTCTCAGACCAAAACAATTCGATACAAGCAAACTTACCTCAGTACAAAGTTGCTTAGTTTGGGCGCTAGACGGTACTGAATTTACAATTTTCAAATCGTTTTTGCTTCATAACTTTTAAACCTCTCATGAGATTTTACTAAAATTTGGTACGTTGGTATTAGAACCTGAATTTTTCAGTAAATGAACATCTTAAACTTCTACGCCAATGGGAAGAAAGTGGTTAGAATCATAATCAAACTACACTCTATAGACCTTTAACTTCAATGGAACGACCTTGTTCCATTTTCTAGTTTATCCACCAAACAATAGGTGGCCATTTGGCCACAGGCACAGGCGCATTGATTTCAAAATGGCGTACATATATTGTTTGACGAATGACGATTGATTCTTGTGAATGTTATTTGTGATGTTCTCCCCTCTAGAAGTTCGTTTTATTTTTCATCAATCATGATTGAAGAAATCAATCAACAACAGTTCACTTTCGATTCGGACAATATAGTGAAGTTTATGATGAAACTGGACAAGTGTGCATCAGTGCCAGGACGTGAGATTGATATTTTCTCTCCGGACTTCGTTTTCCAAATTTTAGGAAAGATGATCTCATGTTTCTGGAGAGGAGAAAGTGTTTGAAGATCCTGTGATAATTGTTGAGTTATATTTCATTGTGATCATTGAAGGTGTTTATGTATGACCTAATTAAAAAATATATGCATTTAGATAACTTCATTTTTTCATTTTAGTGTCTGTAAATTGTGGGAAAAGATGGAAGCATAGTGCTTATGATATGTCATCTCTTTCACTATTCACGAAAGCTTCTCTTTACGCCAAAATATTCGAAAATATCATGAATTATTCAAAATTCCCGCTATTCGAAATAGTTGCGCGACCAAACACCAGAGGCGCTGATGGCGAAAATGAAATAAGAGGTTAACATATGTGCGTTGGCCATCTAGGAGAATGTAGTTTATCTATGGTGAGAATATAAAATTTGGATTGCGTAACTTGTTTACTACAAAAAGGTAAGATGAAATTCGATTGCTTTCATGGTTTCGACAAAATTTGAATTCTAGTAGGCTTGTTCGTTTGTGTTTGCTCAATCTGCTAAACTTATTTTTTTTCTATCACTAACTCTGTTCAAGTTGTGCAATGAAATGAGATGACAATGAAAAAAAAAATCAACTTCAGCAGGTTTAGCAACAAAAACGAACATACCTATATAGTGTTTTAAAGCATCAGTTAACATTTCAAAGATCAAGGTATATCATGAAAATTGTTCAAAATATTCATAATTTTCACGTCTGCAAAGATTTATAGGACGAAACCAATGGATGCAAGCAAGTTCAACTGAGTACCTAGTTGCTCAGACGGCTCTGGCTTACTCAGTACACAAAAATATCAAGAAATAGCGGATAGCACATTGAAATTGTTCCGTCCTATAAATTTTTGTAGACGTGGAAATGATGAAAATTTTGAACAATTTTTATGGAATATCTGTTATTTGTTTTAGTGTTGACTGATGCTCTGAATTAGTATAATTCATATTTTGTCGAAACCATGGGAGTAATATCGCATTTTACCAAGAGTACTTTTTTTGTTTTAAACAACTTACGCAATCAAAATTCCATATTTTCTTTTCATTGACGTAGAAGTTTTAAATGTTTATTTACTGAAAAAATCAAGTTCTACGCCTGTGGAATAAAACTAAGCAAACGTACCAAATTTTAGTAAAATTCCCGTTTTCCATCCTCTTTGAAGCAGAACTAATTGCCCAAGTCAATTTTCAAAATGACCTATTATTGATTTTTTTTCCATTTGATGCCAACTTTATGGATGACACTGTATATGATAACATTCTGTGAAGACCTTTCAGGGACACCCTGTATAATCTCTTCTATATAAGTTTCGATGGACCAGCATTCATTTTGCAGAGAGTTGACGCAAATCCATCAAGTTTTCGATGGTTGTAGCAAGAAAGAATATTGAACAGAAGTGTTATTCCAGTACTCCACACGACGAAGACCGTTCAGAACTTCCAAGATTACCGATAGCATGATGTTTTTTTTAAGTTTCATCACTTTGATACCAAGAGCACCGTTACCGTGCTACACTATATAACCCTCGGGCAAACCTTCTAATCGACTTCCTCGATAACCGGACCGCCATCTTGATCGCCAGACGTCTGCCCGCCGCTGCTCCGGCCACTACCATGCAGCTTAGCCATTATAGGACCACACACCTTGGTCATCTCCTTCATCTTGTACTCGAACTCCTCCTTATCCGCCATGGTGTTGTTGTCCAACCATCCCATGCAACCGTCGCACTCGCTGCGTACCCGCTTCTTCTCCTCATCGCTCAGCTTGCTGCCGGCTTCCTCTATCGCTTGTTTGACCCCGAAGACATAGCTCTCTAGATTGTTCCTGCTGGCGACTCTCTCGCGAGCCTTTTCGTCTTCTTCTTTGTAGGTTTCCGCTTCGGAGAGCATACGCTCGATGTCGCGTTGCGAAAGTCTGCCCTTGTCGTTTTTGATGGTGATTTTTTTGGATTTTCCCGAGCTGTTTTCCAGGGCTGATACGTTGAGGATGCCGTTGGCATCCAGGTCGAAGGTGACGTCGATCTTGGGTACGCCTCGGGGGGCTGGAGGGATGCCGCATAAGTCGAAAGTTCCTAGAATTGTACAAAGTTGATGAGCCATGGTGGTGAAAGTTAAACCTATAGGGTACATATTTATAGTTATATTTTATGATTTTGACAAAAGAATCAATCTTTGACCCCGAAAACACCCAGATAACAATTTTGAAGAGAGTCGGATCATAATTACAATACTCGTTCGCCATATTGGTTCGGTCATCTTGAATTTCCTAGTTTTGACGGAAGAATCATAATCTCCGACCCCGAGAACCACCAGATTCCTAAATAAAATCGGATCCTAGTTACAAAATCCGTCATTTAGGACCCGCCATCTTGAATTTCTTAATTTTGACAGAGGAATCATAATCCCCGATCACGAAATCCTCTATGTACCAATTTTGAAAACAATCGGATTATTGAAATTGAAATGGGACAAGCATATAGAGGTTCTGATACAAAAAATATCTCCAATCATTGGATGTCCTATACTTGACAAAAAAGTTATGAACATAGTACTTCATTCTCATATACTCTGGGGATCTTGTTCAAAAAATTATTTCAGTAAAATATCTGCACTTTATAAGAAAGCACTGGAAGTATTGTATCGTCTCCCATTTGGTATCCCAACAAATGATCTGTATGCGATAAAACATTTTCATTGGATGAATTATATAAAATAGATTCTCTCAAAGTTTCATATAATATAATAAACAATAATCTGAAATCCAATTTTGTTTTGGTAAGAAACTCAGAAATTCATGTTCATCACACGAGACAATTAAACTTATTTCACCTTGATTCTGCTACTTCTATAATTGGCCAAAAAAAATTTTCTCACGCTGCTCTAGCTGAATTCAATAAATTACCACATAATATAAAAAATTGCAGACATATTTCAATATATGAAATTGAATTAAAAAAACACATGATTTCATTACGAAATCGATAAAATTGATACTTTGCCATCTATTGATTAGTCCCTGTGGCTATTTTTATGACTTGATCGATTTACCTTTTTTTTTCTTGATTTGTTAGACTTTTATTGTTGTTGTTGTCACCTTATATTATTTTATTATTGTTGTTTGTAATCAACTTCCTTATACCAGAATTTTATTTCTGACTGGAAGCTAGTTTTTCAATTAACAATAAATAAACAATAATTACAAAATTCGTCCGCCACATTGGTTCCGTCATCTTGAATTTCCAAATTCCGCCTGAATTTTCATATTCTGACGAAAAAATCATAATCTCCGACCCCGAAAACCCCCTGACGCCAATTTTGAATAGAATCGGACCATAATTACAAAACTCGTCCGATATATTAAATCCGCCATCTTGAATTCTCTTCCCACCAATTTTCAGCAGTGTTCCAGAGAAGTGGGTGAGTTTGTGAGCGAGGCATCACCCACGAGACGAATTGCCCTTTTTTGAACAGAATCCAAGGGTATGTTTGGGTGCTGCACTCCAAATATGGGAACAGTATTCCAGGACAGGTCGGATCTGTGCCTTATAGATCATAAGCAGCTGACTGGAAGTGAAATAGCTCCTGGACCGAAACAGAAAACCAAGTTTTTGGGATGCACTTTTAGCAATTGATCTCACGTGATTTTCCCAAGAAAGTTTATTGCTGATAGTAATACCAAGGTTGGTTACTCCTGACAAGCTTATGTTGGGCACAGTGAGATCGGCTTTTTTAGAGAAGAGGCATGCTTGTGTTTTGTTTCCATGAAAGTTATTGGATCCACATCCGAGAATTGTTGCAAGTCCATATTTATGTTGTCGACATTTCTCCCTCGTTCGTTTCTGATTTGCCTGGCTGGTATTGGAACCCTGGAAGAGAAGGCGGTATGGGGGGTACTATCATCCGCGAAGTTGCTTTCAACAAATCATTGATATGGAGTAGAAATAGTGTTGGTGCTAGAATTGATCCTTGCGGAACACCAGCATTTATTATAAGACATTCAGATGAAACTCCGTCGACCACTACATGGAGAGACCTGTTTGAGAAAAAACTAACTAGCAGAGAACATAGCTGGGGAGGTAAGCCATAAGATGGAAGCTTGGCAAGGAGTCCGACTGCAGACAAAATCTAGTGAGCTGGAACTCCAGCTCACTAGATTGTTTCTCCATATTTAGCAGACAATGCTAAAAGCTAAGGCCCCCGTCATTCCTTGCTCACACAATTCTCTTGAAGACATCTGAGGGTCGCAAATGACGGTGAGAACAATTTCGCAATTTCACAATCTCAATGTCATCTAGAAATAAAAACTACCCCATAACTTTCCAGCTAAAAATTCAATTCAACTGGACTACATGGCTTACCCAACAAGTTGTTGTCCTTGGTCATGGCCCTCTCGCCTTCGAACACCTGGATCGTGACAGCCGGCTGGTTGTCCGCGTACGTGGTAAACGTCTGCGACTGCTTGCAGGGTATACGGGCGTTGCGCTCGACGATCTTCGACATGACACCGCCGGCGGTCTCGATGCCCAGCGACAAAGGAGTGACGTCGACGAGAAGGACGTCCTGGATCTTGGAGCTGGTGTCGCCGCTCAAGATGGCTGCCTAGTGATGCAATAGGGTATCAAAAAAGCGAGGAGTCATATCGAATACAGAGATATTCAATCAAAATAAAGCAAACATTTTAGTAGAGAGGACTCAATACTTATTTCGACGAATTTTGATATAAGACCACCTGCGGTCTCGATGCACAGCGGCAAAGGAGTGACGTCGAGGAAAAGGACGTCCTTGACTTTTGAACAGTTTACTGAAGGCTGAAATGTCGATAGGGTTTATAGATAAGAGATCTAAGATGAACGAACTACTTTGGGTTCTGGGACATAACGGGATAGATGGCAACGAAAAAGCCGATGCTCTAGCAAGGCAAGGTTCTTCAGCCCGTCCTGTGGGCCCAGAGCCCATCGTGAGCATTTCTCTCTGCACAGGACTGCGAAAACTTGAAGAACTTCTGACAGAGAGGTTTTGTCGGGAATGGACTGAATCCAGGGGTATGAGACAGGCGAAGATCTTCATTGATAGGCCTTCGATACGTCTCACCCAATCCCTCCTGAATATGCGAAGAAGCCAATGCAGAGTTGTCACTGGCTTACTAACTTGACACTGCCGCCTTCACAGACATCTAAACATTCTGGGCATCTCCGATGACCCAACGTGCCGTTTATGTCTCGAAAACGACGAAACTCCCATCCACATCATATGTGAATGTCCTGCGCTAACACAGCTCAGATGGCGGAGTTTCGGACAAACGACTCTTCCAGCGGAAGAAGCGCCAAACATCCCGGCTACCGACATCCTAGCCTTCGGCAGAGCTGCTGGACTCTTGTGAAGGATGCCATACTCACGGGGCGACACAATGGACCCACACTAGCGGTCTAGCTGTCTGGACTTCGACAAGTCCCCCCGATGCTTACTCAACTCAACTCAAGATGAACAGATAATTGTTTGCCCCAATCGTAAGCAAGTGCGAGGCCGTTCTGATTCGGCCCACTTAGCCTCATCAGCCACTCTCGGTCTGCTGACAAATGGGGCAACTCAACGCTTTGGGTATATTAAAGTCACCGGATGATATTAGCTAGATAAGAGTTCGGACAAAGAAATGACAACTGTTAATGTGTTTGAATGTTTAGATTTATCAAGTTACACACCTTGCATTGTGACGACAGCATCATAGTCGTTCCGCGCTTTTTCATTCAAAATTGTTTGAATTTGACAATACATTTTATGAACGGGGGAATTGAAATATAATTTCATGATCTATTGCAGTCTATTGTGAAAAAGGCATGAATGACAACGACCTGCTGTGTAATGAATTGCGGAAATTCCGAAGGAAATGGCGATTTCATTTCTTCAATTGAACCATTCCCTTATGGAAGAGATGTATGGAACTGCTTGGATGGAAAGTTAATTTGAGGCAAGCAAAATTTGTGAAGTAGGTGCATATATTGAAATTCACTTCTTATAACAGCAGATTTGGAATGAAACTATATTTCAGGCCCATTTTCAAAAAGAAGATTTTTAAGATACGTTTGAGAGAATCTGCTGTTCCAATGATTCGCAAAACAGAAACTATCATAGAGAAAGAGGAATTGATTGCAAAATTACGTAATGAGTAATGAAATTGAAAAATTGAGAACGAAACTGAGGAAATCAAGTAAATTGCAACGTGATATAATATCAATCAACCAATCAACTTTATTATTCCCAAGTAACAACATTTGTTTATAGGTGAACATGGTGAATATATAAATTCATTTGACAAAATAAAGAAGACAGTAAAATGAGACCCACAATCAAGAAGAAATCTTTGAATGGCGTTTTCAATACCGACCAAATACAAAATTTATGAGTAAAATGTGAATGCAGCCGAAGGTGGAAAATCAAGATAATCTTCATGTTTTAAACTTCATCACTCGGTACAGTTATACGTACAACAAGGAACTAGCTATTAGTATATCCATATGTGTGTACTTTGTCATATTAAAATGTTGTTACATGAATTTTTCTAATTTTTACAACTATCGTTCTGCGTAAAGTGTATCGCTATTGAAATTGAAGTGGGTGTTTATTTCTATATTACATCTACGACAATGAATATGATAAAATAGTATCTGACAATCAGGCGCTACTATAGGTAAATTGAAAATACAAAGAGCAGAATATATGTCTTATTCTTCCATCCACTCAAACCATTGTTATATAGAGAATAGAAAAGGCAGAAGTTCAGCTTTGTCCGAACTCTTATCAAACTAATACCATCCAGTGACTTTCTAGGGTATACATATCACCCGTTTCGAAGACGCCGGATACTGCATTATGATCTAGTCAATAGCGTTGATTGATATATTACGCTTACGCTGGGAAGATGCCCAACCTGTGTTATTTGAGAGTCGATGCCCCGCTCATCCCCTCGTCTATCGTTTAGCCACTGTGAGGTAGCGACTCCACTAGGCACACAGAACATGTCTGAACTAATTGTACAGATTACTACACTTTTCTACAGAATTACAGATCCCATCCCACCGCGTGCTATCGCTCCAGAAATTTTTGTTTATCCTTGTCTTCTACAATGAGACCCGACCCGCCCGACCGGTTCCGATAAAAAATGTTTGCTACGGTCGGTGAATCCCATGGACGTATATGGGGAATCCACAATACGCAACCAACAATAACAACGGGTTGCGAGTATTGATTTTTCCCTCGGTGCCTTGCGGAAGAGAGAAGAACATATTATGATCTCTCACTCAGTTGGGTTCCTACTCCGTGGCGTTTTTTTAAATTCCTTTGTGAATTACTTGTCATACTTTGCCTAGACCAATATATATGTATATCTGGAAAAACATCTCACGCCTTTTTCGTTGATTATTTTTTTCACTCAATTTGTATTCATATTGAAGGTTTGTATTAATAAGACATTACAAAATATTGATAATATAATCAATCTGAATGTGATAATTTCTTAGAGTCTTATCAGTAGATAGAAAATAAATAGTCAGATATCTTTGAATCTTTGATTGTTAATGGTTCACTATAAAAATGAAATAAAATCTATAATAGGCATAATATACAGAGTGAGTCATAACTATTGGAACATATATAGAATTCATTTATTTATTGGATTACAAGAGTTGAAGCTGCAAGCTTATGAACCATTTTTTACAGTATCTAGTTGTTGAAAGAAATATGAATTCTTTTTTGGTATATTATTTGAAGAGATAAAAACAAAATCAACAATAAACAGCTATACATTTCCAGTCTATATGCCACGATATATAATCATGAAATCGGCGTTGATATTTTGTGATATACCAGTAACTTTTTCTGAGTAGAATCGATTTTGCCGCTCCAGAACAACGGAGTACAGACTACGGAACGCTCAGAATCTCCGCCCTAACAACACAGGGATATATGTTCTAGGTACGTACCCTTTTTGTCACACGGTACAAGGACATAATTGGGGTATCCAGGGGATGTCCCGCAGTGGTTGTCCAGTGGACATCCGGCCCGGTACATCCATAGGTTATCCTATTCGTGTCCCTGGAATATCTGATATCTATTCACATCAGAGTCATTGACTTTCATCAAAATATTGAGTTGAATTTTTATGAAAATTTTTGGTTTTTTCCGGTAAATAATTGTAATGAAAATAAAGAAAATTGTCTCAGAACTTCTCGAGAAATGACCATTTTTCGCAAATAGAAAACGTAAATGCATATAATGCCCCTCATTTTTAAACATCCACGAATGATAATAATAATTATACCCAAATCCTAACAAAGTTGTATTTATTCAGGTTCCTGCAGTTTAGTCCTGTTTAAAAATCTGTTTGGCACATAAATCTTCAGAAGGCATATCAGCCAATGCAGTAAGGTGCGTGCCTTCTGCTCAGTGTAGTGGCCAAGGTAGTGGATAAGATTCCACTCAGATTGATTGAGGCCCAGGTCGAAGACCTGAACCTGATCCCTGATGAACAATTCGGTTTTCGCAAGGGACATAGCACCACGTCCCAAGTGGCCCGAATTGTTCACGGGGTAAAAGAGGCCTTTAATCAGGACAAAAAAACCGTCATGGTCATCATGGATGTCGAAAAGGCTTTCAACACCGTTTGGCACAAGGGTTTAATGTCCAAGATGTCTAAGGCTAGACTGCCCATATATATCATTAGAATTGTTGACTCGTATCTTGAAAACCGAAAGATTAGAGTAAAGGTGAATGACGCTGTTTCAGGGGATTTTCCACTCGAGGCGGGTGTTCCACAGGGGTCGTGTCTGTCTCCACTGCTATACTCAATATACACGCATGTTTTTTTCTGTGTTCGAGAGGACGAGTGCAGCGTTGTATGCTGATGATACAGCATTATATGCTCACTCATTCGACTCGGACATCGCCAGGACTCAGATCCAGATCCATCTGGACAGGGGAGTCATACCGTATTTTGAGGAGTCAAAGATCGCCGTGAACAATACAAAGACAGAAGTCATGAATTTCAGCAGGAAATACACTAACAACGTTTTACGGCGACCTTTGACTGTAAAAGATGCGGAGGTTACGGACTCTCCCGTTGTGAAATACCTGGGAGTAAAGCTGGACAGACGTTTGTCATTCAGGAACAATATCAGTTATTTAATACAAACGACTCAGGCTGCGATCAGGAGCTTGTATCCTTTGTTGGTGGGAAATTCCCCACTAACATTGGATAATAAGCTCTTGATCTATAAACAGATTATCAGGCCTGTAATGACATACGCCTGTCCGGTATTTTGTAGCGCCTCGAATACCCAAATAGGTAGATTACAGGTGCTGCAAAACAAAGTTCTCCGTATCATTACCAATGGCAATCGATACTCCCGAGTGGTAGATCTTCACGAATGGTGTCATGGCATACCAATGATAAAAGATCATATACTGAAAATCTCGAATAAGTTTTATAGATCCCATGTTCAGGGAAGTGAACTCACTAGGAACATCACTTCCACTCGTGCTGAACATGGAATCTATAAAAAACATGGATTAATATATGAGTCGACCGATGTTTTTGGGGAACCCCTGGGCGGTCTGTAGGATCCTCAGCATGAAAATGTTGAAAATTTCCAGGGATGTCGCGTGACTGATGTCCTTGGAAATTGTCAAGAGCAGCAGCGTCTCAGTGGGGCAGTGTTCACGCTGAGGTGCTGGCGACTCTTGGCTCACATCTGCAGGCTGCCCTAGACGGCTGATTGGCCTATCGGCCGATTCTGGGCGTGGCTTGTAGATGGGGGCGGTGAGCGCCGTGTCCAAAGCGACAGATCATCTGGAGAGGGTTTTTACTTTATTTTCCCTCGTATAAACGTTAATTTCCAGCACGCCAATGTTTGTATTCACCATTGACCCTACTGGGTCCACCTCGGAGATTTCCCATTAAAAGGAGCACTGCTTCAGGAGATGGGACTCATGTGTCAGGACTCTTATCACAGAACGAACATTCCCCCTGGCTAACACCAGCCAACTCCGCACTGCGCGGAGGATAGTATATGTATACATTTTATAGTTGTTTGTTCTGTTTGAAATTGTCGATGTTTTATTGAAATGAGGAAATAAATGAATTTGAAAGCGTGCCTGATAAGATAAAGGTCCCGGGTTCAATCCCTACTCGACCTACATTTTTTTTTCTTTTGTCGAAGGGATGTCCCTGGAATATCCTTGCTACCTCCTAGTGATATAATTTCTTCGTTCTTGGAACATCCCATGGACGTACCAGACGGAAATCCCTTGGATGCTTTTTTTGTCAGCCAGCTGATGTCCCTGGGACGTCCCTAGTATGTACTCTGTCCCCACAAAGGATATCTCTGTAACGGTGCATTTGTCGGTCGCCCCACAGAAGTCAAAGGAAATTATTGGCACTCCAAGTTTTGGCAATACATAGGTCGGATCATATACCAGTATAAAATACTTTGGATTGATAGCGGTATAGAATTGTCACGCAAGATTTCGCGTTTTTCATGTGATAAATATCATTAATTTCAATAATAAAAATTTCAAAAATTGTACATAGCTAAGACAAGAAAATGATTTGCGACAGTGAATTATAGTATGATTTAGTAATTTGACATAATGAAATATGAAATTCCACTCAAACAGACCCATTTAGATTCCATTCTAGGGTAAAATACACTAAGGTGACAACACTGGTCCGGGTTCGTGAATTTCAATCAAATTTATGAGCAGCTTATATATTGATATCTGCTGACCAGTTTATTCCACAATCGCCAAAAATGGAAGCATTTATTGTTGAGACATTAAATTTTGTGATTCACTCCAATTCGATTTCTATAAACTTTTTTCATGATCTCACGTCCGTGATGCGCTCGTTAGAAACACATCCAGTACAACTATAACGTTAATCTGTGCTATTACTAACAAATCCGAATTTACCGCCATATTAGTTAGAATCGTACTGATTGATCATGGATTCGATACAAGCGTTTCGGATTATGGATTGTTTAATTGTTCCAAGTCGCACGCCATCTGCATTCCAATAGATTCTCTTCGTAAGTGGCGCACCTGCCCGTCAAATTACGAAGTATTGCTCCGACATCGTTCGACACTATCGCCGCCACTATGTGAGATTTCGAACTATGGTACGCCATCTAGTTGTGAGATTTTTTTGGACCTCGTTTTGCCCCATAAGGTTGGGCATCTTCCCAGCGTAAGCGTAATATATCAATCAACGTCAATAGTCATGCTATCGCCATCTTTCTTTTTATGTTCTGGATCCCACGAAAAGGGATATTTCTGGAGGTTATATGCCTCTAGTCTAGTCAACTCGTGCAGACCCCTACGCCTACAAGTTGCAGAGTGGTACTACAAGTGAACCACTCTGCTGACATAATGGCACCACCTGAATACTTGAGTCGTCTTGAGTGGTAATAACCCACCAGTACTATTCAATGAACTAGATCTCATAACTAAGAGACAATTGGGGCAACTCTCTTCATTCTAGATCTCTTAATTAGTTATGACATAGATGACGACTCTATGAGATCTAGTAAGTTGAACTGGACTGGTGGGTTACCACTCAAGTTTCAAGTTTTCAGGTGGTGCCATCTGTTAACATAGTGGTTTGGCTATGGTATCAATCTATGCAACGGGTAAGCGTAGGGGCCTGTACAGGGTATCCCAATTTGGGCACTTTTGCGGGGTATCTCCCTTATCAGTAAAGATAGAGCATTGCGGTTTTCGCGACAGTGTGCTACTTTTTTATGAAATTAATAATGGCGCAAGCAGAATTGTGATAGCTCTTCCGGTTGTCGAGATACAGGGTGGAATTGAAAAATATCACTTTTCAGGCACCCTCCGTGTCTCAGTTATCTTAGAACTTATCGAAAAAGTTAAAACTTGTTTTTATAGAGATTTTCTCGTAGAATCCAGTGGCGTAGTTATTTTTTGCTAGCACCTTTTGTTTTTTAGTTATGGAGCAAACATATGTTTTTTTAAATGGAACACCCTGTATATTATTTCATATATACATTGAGCATGAAGTGGGCTTTCCAAAAATATATAATTGTATACAATTATTTTCAAAAACAAGCTCAGAATTTCAGATTTTCAAAAAAAAATTTTAGGTAGAAGAATATGGCTAAAATTTATTGAAAACAAAATTTATGTGGGTGATTATTATACTTCTTATACTTTCAAACTCAATTCAAATAATATTTTTTGATTTCTCATTCCTTAATTATTTATTACATCATTCAAACATAATTATTATGATGAATAACAACAAACACCAAACCTATTTTACTTAAGATTCAACGTAGAAAAAAGCAAATGAAAGCAGAATTTTGAAAATGCAAAAAGGTTTCATAGGTGGTTTTCAAAATGACGACCATTTTCCCGTATACAAAATTGGCACATTTTTGTTATCCTTCTGATAGCGTTGTAAAGAATTATAGGACTTCTTTGCAAATTTTGGAAACTCAAATCAGTCGCTGCACGAAGCTCTGCTACAGAATGATATCTTGTTTTATAAACTTTGCCTTGCAGGAAACCCCATGAAAAAAAATCCAAAATTGAAAGATCCGGAGATCGAGGCGGCCATCTTACAGGTCCGTTGGTACCAATCCATCTTTGAGGAAAGTTATCATCTAAAAATGGCCTCAAAAGGGCAGAGTTGTGGCTGGGGGCACCGTCTTGTTGGAAATAAACGGAATTATAAAGAGCCAATGGAACATTTTCCATCAGTTCTGGAATAACTTCCTCAAGGATTTCTCGGTAACGACGTGCTGTGAGACCTCCTTCATAAATTCTGTAGACTATTCGTCTTCCAAAAATAAAATATTAGACCCCAACTCCGAAGCGTCCCTGTTGTGCCCTCTCAAAAATTAAATGTTGATTTTCGGCGGACCAATGTCTTGTATTATGGCGGTTAAAAATTCCCGCACTTGAAAAATAACATTCATCGGACCAGATAACAAGTCTTCCAAAAGATTCATCGGCAAGGATCTGTTGTAAATACCATTGACAAAATATCATTCGGCGCTCGGAATCGCCAGGGTGTAAATGTTGTACTATTTGGAATTTATAGGGATGAAACTTATATTTTCGCAAAATTCTTTGAGCATCAGACTTGGATACACCAGTTGCTTCCTCTATTTGCTTGCAAGAAGATGAGGGCGCCGCTTCTACATAACCCAACACGTTTATTTGTTTTGTCTCTCTATCTTGTTTGGTATATTATGCGTTAGGACGGGGCTGGATAAATGATCCATATTCTACTAAATTTGATTTGAGGCGGGAAAATATATCTGGGAAAGGTTGTCTTCTTTCTGGATATCTAATATAAACAAATAAAGAATCCCTAAGAAATTATCGTAAGCATAGCGCTCAAAATATGTTACCTTTGTAAATATAATTCCGAAGCTTCTTGCGGATTTTCATTAGATTGTATAAAACAAACCATCATATCATACTTTTCATTATTATCGTAAACCGCCATTGTTGTAAAATAAATTAAATATTTTGTATCAGGAATTAGAAATATCAAAACAGCAAAAATATTTCACTAATAATCAGAAACTGACAATAGCTCGTGAAGTTTATGACATTTTGCTTTCTGTTCCAAACAAATTAGCCATAGCCTACCTATTATAATTAACTTTCCTCAAAGATGGATTGGTACCAACGGACCTGTAAGATGGCCGCCTCGATCTCCGGATCTTTCAATTTTGGTGTTTGTTGTTATTCATCATAATAATTATGTTTGAATGATGTAATAAATAATTAAGGAATGAGGAATCAAAAAATATTATTTGAATTGAGTTTGAAAGTATAAGAAGTATAATAATCACTCACATAAATTTTGTTTTCAATAAATTTTAGCCATATCCTTCTACCTAAAAGTTTTTTTTTGAAAATCTGAAATTCTGAGCTTGTTTTTGAAAATAATTGTATACAATTATATATTTTTGGAAAGCCCACTTCATGCTCAATGTATATTTGAAATAATATACAGGGTGTTCCATTTAAAAAAACATATGTTTGCTCCATAACTAAAAAACAAAAGGTGCTAGCAAAAAAATAACTACGCCACTGGATTCTACGAGAAAAACTCTATAAAAACAAGTTTTAACTTCTTCGATAAGTTCAAAGATAACTGAGACACACCCTGTATCTCGACAACCGGAAGAGCTATCACAAGTCTGCTTGCGCCATTATTAATTTCATAAAAAAGTAGCACACTGTCGCGAAAACCGCAATGCTCTATCTTTACTGATAAGGGAGATACCCCGCAAAAGTGCCCAAATTGGGATACCCTGTACATGTTGACTAGAGATGGCAGCGTCATATAGTGTATGGAGAGATATAATCACAGATGTATGGCGAGGCGCAAGGCCCTACTTTAGAACTAACGCCACTAGATGGCGATAGCATGACTAGATCATCATGCAGTATCCGCCGTAATAACATGAACATAATTTACCTGTACTGCAGCCCCATAAGCGACCGCCTCGTCAGGATTGATACTCAAATTCAAATTCTTGCCGTTGAAGTAGTTCTGCAGCAGCGCCTGTATCTTCGGGACGCGCGTCGACCCACCCACCAATACGACGTCGTCGATGTCGCTTTTAGACACTTTGGCGTCGTTCAGCGCCTTCTCCACCGGCTGCAGGGTGCCCTTGAAGTACAAATCGTGATAATTATTTTTCTACTAGCGTGCGGAGAAGTCTACTTCTTTGCACTCATTTTAGTGTTGAAAGAGTCACTTGGATATGATATTGACTTCAAGTTCATGAGTAAAGTAAATAATTTAGTAAAAGCTATTATTTGCAAATGGAAGTATTTTTATTTTTCCATAAGAAAGAAACTGTGTGAAACTATATCGTCTTGCCAATACTTCAGTATTGACTTTTTATTTATTTATTTATTGAAAATGTTACTTCCAGTCAGAATCAAATTCTGGTACAAGGAAATATAGTTAACAATAATACCTAAAACTATTCAATTATAATAAACTAATAAATAATATAATATTTGAAAACATTAAGTATTAAATTTTGACAAATTGGTGAGCAAAAAACAATGTGAATATGAATCAAGAGTCGAAAAAAAAATCATCTATTCCGTTCAGAAATGATACATTTTTCAAGTTGGTATTTGAATTTTATTGTATTTCTGCAATTTTTTATATTATCTGGTAATTTGTTATATATTCCAAGAGAGCAGCGTGGGTGAATCTTTTTTGGCCTATAGAAGAATTAGCGATATCAAGATGAAATAAACCATGTTGTCTAGTTTGGTAATTAATATTCCGTAACCAACATCATAATGTGATTATAAGAGAGAACAATTCATTGCTTATACCGCACCATTCGACAGCATTATAATAGTAGAAATCTTTTTCCTATATACAGTGTGTCCCTAGACCAGTGGGACAGTTGAATATCTCCTGAACCAATAGGAATTTTCAAAATATTATGATTCCACATCATATCGCATTATGAGTGATAACTTCAGGAATGACTATATTTTATACGAGGGGCGCAAGAAAGGCTCACAAAATCGAAAATCAATTTTTTCAAATGGAACACCCTGTATTTCATTGTATTTTCATATTCTCCTTGATGAGCTGAATTCAACGACCTAGCACACTTGGGGTCTAGCGGGAATGATTTCCGAGATATAGGGTGTGGAAAATCGAGATTTTTCATTTTTGGGGACACCCTGTATAATTCTGTGAAATTGTACAATTCACTCCAATAGAACAATTTAATTTTATTTGTTTGGTTTTATGATTTTTATTATTTATAATAACGATTTTGTTTTATATGTAGGTTGTTCCAACTGTATACAAGAGAAACCTGTTCGTCATGCAGTAGGAATTAATAAATTCTAAATTCTGAATTTTATCTCGAAAGTTGAACACAAAATGGAAAAAAATCGAGCACGCTACTTCCTGGCTATTATCGATATCCTAGTGACTCTGCCGTCCACATGGGAATTTGATGACAATGACATTTTGATCATCAAGATAATAATGAAAAGAATGACAATGGTGGACAATAAAATCGAAGCACAGCTATTTTCCTATTCCTATAGCTAATGCCACACAGAACATTGAATTACATACTGCTCAGGTATCGTTCCATCCGGAGGTCTGGTGACTGTCCTGTACTCATGATGAGGACCAATAGCCAGAAGCCGGTGGTGGAGCGTTACCTGGCTACAATCTGAACACAATTCAGCATCTAGGAAAGGAACACTTGCATTCAGTATTTCTTTATATACGAATCATTAGAGTTCGAGAGTATATAATTCAATGTTTTGCTTTGCGAATACCAGAGAATGTCGTTTTATTTAAAAATTAGATAGAAATGCCGTGGAGTTTTTTTTGTTTTGAATTTCTATACTTTTCCTACCTTGAACAGATCGGCGTTCAGCTCCTCGAAACGAGCACGTGATATCTTCGTGTAGAAATCGACGCCGTCAAAGAGGGCGTCGATTTCCAGAGACGCCTCGGTGCTCGAGCTCAGGGTTCGTTTGGCCCTAAAACAATGAAAAATATTAGAAATCATAATAGGGGTGTATACAAGGTAGCATTGAAATAAGAGCAAATATTCCAAACACTGAAAAAGCTCGACGTGTACTATCGAATGGCACTGATAAAGAAACTTAGGAATCAAAATAAAATTTGAGGTTAGACCCCTTTTTTCACCCAAAGTTCTACACTGTAGCAAATCTCACGTCACCTCTATTCAAATTTCTATGCGGTATAGGCATATTCACGCGGAGTTCGATCATTTAAATTGTTCCAAAGTGACATGCTTGATTTTTTTCTCGTATTTTGTTCAACTTTTGGGATGAAATTTCTCGTTAATTGAAAGAATTGGAAAAAAATCTGATATCATGGGAATATTCCTTAGACTGTATCATATTGATGTGCTGAATATGTGCACTTATTTCAAAAACACCTTGTATACGAGCATCATTATTTATATTTGAACGGCACCGATGCAGGCACGAAACACTACACAAAAAGGTAATGGAGGATTTTTTTTCTTCCAGAGCGCACGAAATGGAATCCCTATTATGTTCGAGGAACATTGTACGTACCTAGAGATAGGGAGAAATTTAGGATGTGCTATTGAGCTTGATGAGCTCGTCTGAGTGGTATCATAAGAACATTTTCCTACGAGCATCACGACTTTTCGTTCTGAAAGTTGTACTTTTTCGTACGATTTTACTTTTCCGCACGATATTTACTTTTTCGCAAAGTCCTTCGGGTGAATGTTACCCTCCGGGCGTTAATATCTATATAACACACTTGATACATTAATAACTATATATTGACGAGTTGACTTGTCTTCGTCGTGTTTTAGTTTCCTGGGATGGAATGAGTATTCTGGAAGAAAATGCAGTATGCAGAATACTATCATCTGCAAAGCTTGGATAGGGCAGCTGGTAATGGTTGGTTATGGTTGATATGGAGAAGGAACTATGTTGTTGCCAAAATGGATTATCATTGTAGGCCACCAGAATTGATTACTATGGTATCGCGTAAAATGACATTTCTGATTCTGTTTTTCTTTGTGATGCCTCCAACTTATTTTAAATACTTCATTTCTGCTTCGCTCTAATTTCAATATATTTTCTATTCCGTTAATACTCATGATTTACAGTCGTTAGTTAGTATAGGTTAGCTCCCTATGCTTTGAAAATCCCTTAATCCATAGTTGAGTATGTAAAATTTTGAACCTCATTACAGAAAACTTTCAATAAACTCAGTGGTAAGAAGATAGTGATAGAAATTCACGATTCCTTGCGCTCTCAGATGGATTTCTGAGTGAGTGGTACTGTGTCACTGATATCGACTCACCTTTCTGCCGCGGTCCTCAATCTCCTCAACGCCCTCGCGTTCTTCGACAAGTCCTTCTTGTACTTCCTCTTGAACTCCTCGACGAAATGATCAACGAGGCGGTTGTCGAAGTCCTCACCGCCCAAATGCGTATCTCCCGCGGTGGATTTCACCTCGAACAGCGAGCCCTCGGCGATATTGAGGACCGAAACGTCGAAAGTGCCTCCGCCTAGGTCGAAGATGAGGACGTTCCTCTCGCCCGTGAGGTTCTTGTCGAGGCCGTAAGCGAGGGCGGCTGCTGTTGGTTCGTTGATGATGCGGAGGACGTTGATGCCTTGATAAAGGAATAAACAGACATTTATTTATTCATTTATTTATTTTTTTTTAGAACAATTTTCCCAAAATCAAACTGATAAATCGAGAATGACATTTAATATTTCTCTGCGAAATGTAGTTTCAGGGAGCGACCACTCAAATGAAATTAGAGTGTTATAATGGTTAGCCAGTCGAAGCATGATTAAAAGAGGGGATTTAGATAACTTCCTAAGAGGTACATTGAGCAAGCGTGAGGATCGAGTACGGCGAGGAGGTACATTAAATGGTAGCAAATCAAGAATGTCGGGGCAATCAATCTTATTATTCATAATTTTATATAAGAATATCACACATATTAAGCTACGTCTCTGATCCAAAGATAGTATTTTAAAATGTGATCTGATCTCAGTTGTTCTAACTGTCAGGTAGTCAGGCCAGACGTGGTACTCCTTGTAATATAAATATCTGAGTAATTTATTTCGTTCTTTTTCTATTTCTTTCAATGCAGTTGTACTTTCCCCCATCCAAATTATCGATGCAAATTCAATCTTCGGTCTTACTAAAGTATAATACAATATTTTAACGGTATGGATATTTTCAAATTCATAAGTTTGCCTTATAATATATCCTAGAACACGGTTTGCAGACTTGCGAACATGTTCCAAATGATCGGAAAAAGAAAAAACGCTATTATAGTTTACACCGAGATCCCGCATCTCCTTTTTTCTTTCTGAAGTTTCTCCATTCATTTCATATTCAAAAACTACTGGATCTTTAGTTCTAGTTATCGTTATAATACCACATTTATTCAAGTTGAAATATAACCTATTTTTATTGCTCCATTCAAATATGCTATCTAGGTCTTTTTGCAACTCAACACAGTCCCTTACCGTTTGTACTTTTTTGAAAACTTCCAGATCATCTGCAAAAAGTAAGCAATCATCAGAGTTCACAAGGACACTTGGCAAGTCGTTGATAAATATTGTAAACAATAAATGGTCCCAAATTGGAACCCTGCGGTACTCCAGAATTTGCCCCAAACTGACTTGATACAGTACCATTATGTCTGACGGAAAAATATCTATTTCTCAGATAATTTTTCATCAATTCCAATATATTCCTTGCCAGTCCATATTTACCCAACTTTTGTAGCAATATATCATGGTCCACTTTATCGAACGCCTTGCGAAAGTCCGTAAAAACAGTGTCCAACTGTAAATTTTGTTCAAAAGTCTCATATACATTGTTACTGAACAAAAAAAGATTTGTGTTTATCGAGAGAAACAAATTATACACTATTATGACAAAAGTCCGGATTTGCCGGTTCCTCACAAACACTCAGTACAAAACTAAAAACAATTTATTCAAACACATACACTAAAATCTATATTATACGCCACATAATCACAATAACTACGTCTCTTTCTACTATAACTCCAAAGACACTTTTAACTGATACCTGTCGTGAGTATTCACATCAATAATATGCCACAGGAGTATGTCAATCTTCTTTCTCTTGATTCTAATAAGACTCAATATATAATTTTTCGTCAAAGAAATAAACAGAATATTGATCTGAAAATTAGAATAAAAAATGAACGTTTGAAACAAACTGCCCATACCAAATACCTTGGTATTTGGATTGATGAGAAATTAACATGGGGAAAGCATATTGACATCCTCATAGGAAAAGTATCTCCCATTATTGGTGCTTTGAGAAGATGTCCTAAACTTAGTACATATACATCAAATATTATTCTCTATTCACATATACTCAGTCGAATTAACTATCTCATAAATATTTGGGGATCTTGTTCCAAAATAGTTTCAACAAAATTTCTGTTCTATATAAAAAGGCATTGAAAGTATTGTATCGTCTTCCATATGATACTCCTACGAATCAACTGTATGAGGAAACAAACACATTTTCTTTGGAAGAGCACTTTTCAATCAATACTCTCAAAATTTTCTATTAAATCATCAACAAAAAGCTCAAAATCAAATTTTATATTAATCAAGAATTCCGAAATTCATGATCATCACACTACAAGTGTTTGGGATCACACGTTAAAAGGTAAGGCCCCCGTCATTCCTTGCTCGCACAAGTCTTTCGAAGACTTCTGAGGGTTGCTTGTAAGGGGGCAACCGAATGACGGATAGAACAATTTTAGAAAAATTTTTTTTTTTTAGACAATATAACTTGTTTCATCTTGAAGCTGCAAATTCTAAACTTGGCAAAAAAAGTTTACACATGAGGCGATTTCGAAATTAAATAAATTACCAGATGATATCAAAAACAGCCCAAATATTATGCAATTCAAAAATAAAGTGAATAAATATATTTTTTTTCACTGTTAATTTTTCCCCTTCTTGTTCACTATAATATGACTGTATCTGAATGATATGTAAGTTTTGTTCACTATTTGTAATTTCAATTATACAACAGTTGATAATACTTCATGAATGATCTTATACCAGGAATTACTGTCTGATCATTCATGTCATTCCTACTAGAAAATTAATTATACTTTATATATCATTTGTATGAAATGTATCAATGAAGAAGAGAATGTGATGCAATAACTGAAATAAATACATAAAATGAAAAAAAAATCATAATTCTCAAATGTCAGTTCGTTTTAGTTTTAGCTATATTAGAGGGAGATGAAGAATGGCTGAGAGAATAACTGGATTTCAGGTTACTGATGAGGATTTGATATCCGAAATGAATTTATTCGAGTGGAGTCATATATAACCTGTTTGTGAGAGATATAATTCCCATATGACTGATACGAATGATTTATTTGCCGACTAAGCATAGGCTAGCTAAACAAAACTCTAGTAGGCATTATATTCCCCCAGAGGCGTCGTTCATAGACAATATGAAAGCAGCGCCATCTGAGTAGAAAATAAGGAAAGAAACACTCCAAAACTGCCCGACTCGCGTAATTTCAACGAGAAATATGAAGGAAAAATCTAGTGAGCTGTAACTACTAGTCTGCTCTATAGCTCAGTTGAGTGTAGGACCACCAGAGGATGTTACCGTATCGGACGAAATGATCTTAACTTTTTTCTAGAAAATTTTCGAGATGTGTGGTTATGTAAGTTGTCAGTGTCAAGAGCTGTCATGCCATCGTGACTTTTATTATATTTTTTCAATTCTCATTGTTCTGATATTCCTTTCGTCTATGGAAAGTATTTTATTCTGATTGATAATTTGTTACAAACTCTGTCTCTCAATTGTGTCTACCAGACAGTGTGAAACCGTCCCCATTCTTTGCGACACAAGTGGATATTTTGTTTCTGGAGTAATAAGAAAGATAATGAAAAAATGTAATATGCCCCGGCGGAAAACTGTCTATATTTAATGTATATGACAAACGAGCCAGCGGCTATAGTACATAGACTACAATCATTAAAATCAAATCTCGAACGTTTTCGGCAACATTGCCATCATCAGGAGATTTCTGAAAAGTGGAATTTATTTTTAGTAACATGTGCTTGAAAATTTTTATTTGAGGTTAGGAAAGTAAAGAAATTTTGAAAACTCACTTGTCAGAAATCTGTACAAAAGATTACATAAGAGGTGATCATTTCGTCAATATTTGTTGTTATCCAGTTTAATATACTATAAATTACTGTGTAATTATAAAACCAAATGGCAGCCAAGCTGCCTCCACTGTAAAACGGGAATGACTGAAGAAGTCCTGTGTAGTTTCCTGAATTTAAGAAATGACGTTTGAAAGATGACATTGATAGGCAAATTGAATGACTTACTGTTGACATATGTTGACAGACTACATGGAACATGAAAGTAAATTGAAAATTAGAAGAAACTGGATTTTGACACCAAGTTGACAGATACAATAATTTTTGAGTTTGAGTGTTAACCTAGAACAAATAAATAGGATATAATGCAATTGTTGTATAACAATATTAAATTACATTTTGATGAAGATAATGTTATTATGAAGCAAATGAAAATGTCTCTCCTGATCAAAGACTATAAAAACAAATATTATTGTGAAGAAGAACTACTAAGTTCTTTTAGAGATTTGAAAATTGGTTGAAAACGAGTTTGGTTTAAATGGATTTGAGTATTCAAGCAACTATTGTTTGTTGAAATTTCCTTAGTTATTTCTAAGTCTTCAAGGAGATCGAGTTGTAAGTAATTACCATTGACTGTATGTAAGATTTTTATTCCTGATTCTAAGTCAAACTTATGTTTAGTTGCAGAAATATGTTCACCAAAACTGGAAGTTTGTGGCCTGTTGAGGTGTTCTTTGGTTCGAACTGAAATTTTCCTAGCAGTTTTTCCAATATATGTAAATAAATGTCTATATTGTCTCGCCTGATTGCTACCCTCAACTATCAATTTGCAGACTGGACTATAATAGACAGTGTTTCGTCCTTGGTACATAAATAACTCTTTTCGAAGACATATCACAGTAGACATTTGTTTTTAAAATGGCGGCGCAAGATACATTTTTTATTAAATCGATATGGCGATAAGATGTCGAAATGATTTTGGGGTTTGCTTCATTGTCACTAAGCTAACCTGGTATATTGGCGGTTTTGATACCATTGTGAATTTCCATAGCGTGAGCAGGAAACGAATTCCCTACTTCAATAAATCTAATAATGTCTAGAATGACCTTCCAGTCATGCAAAGTTGAATAGAAGACATCCAAGCAAGGCAATCAATAAATCAATAATACAAAAATATATGTAGCTCCTGAAAGCCACTGTAAATTCTCTCCCATCAAAATATTGATAGACATATTATTCCCACATTATAATAATAATAAGATAATGATAAGAACTTGGAACTGCATTATATCACTCGAAGAAGAAGTCGTCATAGATTTTTACTATCGAATTTATACGAGAATATTGAGGAACCTAGAATTTCAAGATTCTAGGAGTTTCTCATGGATCGATTGTCAGTTTATGCAGAACAGACTGTTTCGGCTTGCCATAGCTCATCAGTGGCTCTGGGCCAGCTGACAGATTCACGAAGGAAACAACAATATAAAATATTATCATCAACAAGCGTAAACATCATCACAAGGTGGGGCTGGCTAAGTGTAGTAACAATATGGCTGCCTGCCATGTCTGGACTTCTATTCTTATTCTTATTCTTATTCTTAACCAATGACTGAAAGTCAAACTGTGTCATATTATACCCGAAAAACAACTAAAATCGTTAAGAAAATCTTGTGAGGAAGCTGATCGGAGCATTCAAAATGGAGACAATTTTCAGATATTTTTTTTTTTTATTTTAATGTTGATAACGGGAGCAGAATGGTTCCTGAAACGATCGATTGAATTTTTGTTATTTTGGTTCTAATAGTTTGAACGCAATGACCTTTTTCATTGAAATAATACCAACGATAAGGAATGAAGAAAATTCCAACAATTTAGAGAAATTTCGAGGTTCAATTCGAATATTAATGATAAACATTTAAAAAAAATTAATAGGTGGTATAGAACTCGTAAAATAATTGGTATGTAGAGATACAATAGTTGTTGAAGTTTTTTTTTATTCACAGCTCAAAAATGAAAATTAAATTTTGTCTCACTTCTCATGGATGCTCCCCCGTATCTCACGTAATTATTGATGTAGGGTTCTGAAATTTGCAGGAGGAAGCGGAAGGGACGTCCTGAATTTAAATCCGAAGTGATTTTCAACATATCCTGCCTCCTCATATCAATTTTGTGGGTGGTTCCATGGCTGTTGGCGAGCAGTGTATATCACTAGAGACAACTCCACTTGGTCATAGTGTGTATTTCCAGTATATCTACCGCTCGTGCAAATTTCAGAATCCTAGCTCAACAATTACGAAAGATACAGGGGTGCTTCCATTAGAAGTGAGACACACTGTATAATAATCATCTTGAGTCAATTCTGATCTTCATATCTCTTCATCTGAAGTTTAAGCTTCAAAATGAGCCTGAGATTTCAAAAATCGGTTGACGAGGAGAAAAGTTATGACTGCAAAACCAAAGAGTTAATTATTTGAGATCACTCTGTAAATAAAAGAGATAAGGAAACAATTCGAGAACTGTCCCAAGATAATAAGATCATCTACATGCCTCCACTGTCAAAGTTGAAAAAACATTTTTTTCTTCATTTGGGAAACTTTTGAAATTTCCGAAATTTTGCACAGTTCCAGGTAACACCCTGCAGCGATTTTATGTGAAAAACCTCATGTTTTAAAGAATTACGAGATTATAGCTGATGGACTGGGCTAGCGAACAGTGTGATCAGAATTCAAATCGTTCAAAGCAGAAAAAAGTTATTCATATTTCAACAGGGGCGACGAAATTAGTGTTGCGTTACATTTTATGCTTTCTGAAATTCAAATGACTATTCTTAAATTCAATTGACGCTTTCTGAGATACAACTGGAAAATATGTAGTGTTATGTTTTTCAACTTTTGTGTATTTCCAGTACTCATAATCGATGATTTTCACTAACCTGCAATCACTCCAGCATCCTTGGTAGCCTGTCTCTGTGAATCGTTGAAATAAGCAGGAACGGTGATCACCGCGTTCCTAACATCTTGTCCCAAGTAGGCATTGGCAGTCTCTTTCATCTTTGTCAAGACCATCGAGCTTATCTCTTCTGGAGCGAATTTCTTGTTTTCACCTTTGTACTCCACCTGGATCTTTGGTTTACCTATAGGCAGACAACAGTGATGGCCAAAAGTCCCCCCCCCCCTCCATCGTAACTTCTTTGGTTTACATTACAAAAAATGTTGAAAGATTTCAAACGGTTGAGATAGGAAAGGAAGAAATAAATTGTGTTCCATTTGGGATGGTTTCCTCACTGAACTGGTGTACAAATAGAGGAAATAATAATCAACAAGTGTACGTACAAGGTGGGCCATTTTTTTTTATGTTCTGGTTCCCACGAAAATGGATATCCCGTAATGTTCAGAAAACATCGTGAGAACCAAGGGAAATGAGGTAGGAATTGGTGTTCTTCTTAAATTTCTGGAGGTTATATGCCTCGGGGAACACCTCCCTTGGCAATGTGTTCCAGAACCTCGCTGTTCGTTGGATGAACGAGTCTTTGAAAAGAGATGTTCTGTAAGCCTCCAAAGTGACCACGAAGGGATGCGAAGCCTCAACTCGACGGGTTCATCTCGCGGGGACTGCCAAGGGAGGAACAATTCTTGATATATCAGAACAGCATCGTCCATGGAAATATCTATAAAATAGAGCCAGATCGCCAACTTTTCTACGGTGTTCCAGAGAAGTCAGTGAGTTTATGAGCGAGGCGTCACCCACGAGACGAATTGCCTTTTTTTTGGACAGAATCCAACAGTTTCAGGGTATGTTTGGGTGCTGCACTCCAAATATGGAAACAGTATTCCAGGACAGGTCGGATCTGTGCCTTATAGATTATAAAGCAGCTGACTAGAAGTGAAATAGCTCCTGGCCCGAAACAGAAAACCAAGTTTTTGGGATGCACTTTTAGCAATTGCTCTCACGTGACTGCTGATAGTAATACCAAGCATCGAAATTCAAAGGTATGGTTACTCCTGACAAGCTTATGTTGGGCACAGCGAGATCGGCTTTTCTAGAGGAAAGGCATGCCTGTGTCTTGTTTGCATTGAAATCTACCAAGTTATTGGATCCCCATTCAAAAATTGTTGCCAAGTCCATATTTTTGTTGTCAACATTGCTTTCTCGTTCGTTTCTGATTTGCCTGGCTGGTATTGGAGAAGGCGATATGGAGAGTTCTATCATCCGCGAAGCTGTGTACTGGACATGAAGTTGTTTCCAACAAATCGTTGATATGGAGAAGAAATAGTGTTGGTGCTAGAATTGATCCTTGCGGAACACCAGCACTTTTAATGGGAAAGTCTTATTCCCGTACAAGATGGAAAAAAACTGATATCGGTGCCTAATGATCAACTCACATGACAGCCTCAAAGGTGAAAGCCGCATATCGATATCTATTTTTATTTCAGAGTTACAAGGTGTTTTTCGAAAATATGAATTTTTGACTCTTTTTTTGTCAAAAATTATTCGTTTTGCTGAAAACATTTCCAAAGCATTTTGTTTGTCATGAAAATCGATCTTCAGGTAGTGAAATCAGTCACCGTATACCTAATTGCATAATAGAACTTTTCTTTCAAGTAGAACAAGTGATATTCTTGAACTAGATTCAGGAAGGCCGATTTCAGTGCCTCGAGAACAATTTCTATCACATACTCAATGCTTTGCAGTTATTTTCATAAAACATGCAGTTTTTGCCAAAAAAATATCTGTAGCCACTTTTCAAAAATGCCCATTTTCTGAAAAAACCTTGTAACTCCGAAGAGGAGACAGATATGGATATGCAGATTTCACCATTGAGTTTTTCATGGGAATCGACACTCAGACACGGACATCAGTTTTCTTTCATCTGGTTCGAGAAAAGTACTTTCCCTTCAAAAGTGTCCAATTTGCCTCACCCTGTACAATAATTCCACAATTATTAACTTTTGTGATGTGAAAAAATTCATCAAACTTGTTCAAAATTCAACGTAGAATCAATCTAATACAGGATGTCCTATTTAAAAATCATGAATTTCTAAGAAACTGTGTATAAATGAAATGAAAACCATTGAATAGATCGAATGAGACCCTACAAGTTATTTATTTGACATTTTATGTGATGCGTTCAATAAAGAAGTTATAAGGGTGAGGACGGGCTCTTGGTCCTCACTGTATAATGCCAGTTAATAAAATGCACGGACTGAATGACGAAATCGTTGTCGAGTAGTAGTATTCTGCCGATTCTAAGTCTCTGATGACCTTGAATTTTGCAGGAGAGGGGATTAAAGGATACCTACATCGGAAAGGTCGTTGAATTCCACTGGAAGTATCCACTAACCCAAGTAATATCAACAACTTCAAAATCAATAAACGATAAAAATGATGCAAGTTTTTTCAGTTGTACCCCCAACACTAAGTCAAATGATGTACCGTTACATTACCTTGACACGGTTGGCTTGAAGGAGGTGAGTAGATTAACGACTGGTGGACTCAATAATGACTTTGATATCAAGAAGATTATAAAACAACTTTTACTACTTCGCGTTATCGAATAGATCGAATGAAATCCTACAAGTTATTTATTTGACATTTTCTGTGATACGTAAAATGAAGAAGTTATAAGGGGGAGGACGGACTTTTGGTCCTCCCTGTATAATGCCAGTCAATATAATGCATGGACTGAATGACGAAATCGTTGTCGAGTTGTAGTATTTTATCGATTCTAGCTCTCTAATGACCTTGAATCTTGCAGAAGAGGATATAAACGGATCGTTTTGGAAAAAACCTACATCGGGGAAGTTGAATTCCACTGAAATTAATCACTAACCCAAGTAATATCAACAACTTCAACAATCAATAAACGATAAAAATGGTGCAAGTTTTTTCAGTTCTACCACCAAGACCAAGTCGAATGGTGTACCGTTTGATTATCTTCAGACGAGTGGCTTGAACCTAAAAAGTGGTGGTCTAACTGTGAGTCATCCTGTATATATTTTTTCGATTTATATTCAACTCAAACACCCTATACAGTATGATGCAAATTTATGGAATAAATTCATCATTTCAGAAATGGGCGACATTTGAAGAAATTTCAAAAACACGTGAGTTTTAATTTTTGAAACCTCATCTTATGACATTCATATGAGAGATGTTACGTCACCGGTGTTGGAGTAATGACGTAATGGACGGTTTTTTTGAATACAAACAGGGGTCATGTGACACCTCGTTTGAAAGGTCTACTGATCGTCTATCCAATAGTCAAAATTTTGCAAAAGAAGATTGAAATCAAAATGGATTATCATTTGGTTAACTGAATCTTGCAGAGATCTTCTACTGAGAATTGAACATCGAAGGGTCGTCTAGTTGAAAAAATACATCGATAAAAAAGTTCTGAACTCTACTTTTTGGATTTTTTTCGGAAGTCGTCTTGTTTTGAAATGAATTTATTCCATACATTTGCATCATACTGTATATAAATATTCAATCTTGTTATCGGCATCGATTTGTTATTGCTGTTCTTATCAGCAGCTTGCTGCTAGCTTGCTCGTCGGAGCCGGATGACCTTGAAACGACCCATTTCTGCTATTTTTGAGCTTAAAATTCGCTGAAAATATCTGTAGATCTAGGGAAAAATCTCCTCAGCTTTACATGGTCTCTTATGGGGCTTTTTCCGCTGTGCATCGTGTAATTTCCGTAGAATCTGGGAAAAAATTACTTGGAATTTTGAAAAAATATCTGGTATCGGCATAGCTTATTTACTCACGATCAGTGGACTTTATAATGATTTTGATGTCAAGAAGATTATAAAAAAACTCTTGCTACTTCGCGTTATGGGTATATCAAGAAAGTTTAACTCACTTAAGAATAAAAATTAAGTACTTGATGACCTTGACCTACCATCATCATCGATGACTTTGAAAGGCCAGTGCTTCATGTCCTGCTGGATCTTGGAGTCGTTGAATTTTCTCCCAATCAGTCGTTTGGCATCGAAGACCGTGTTATTAGGGTTCATGGCCACCTGATGGTGAACAATGTATTAATCCGAGGAGGCGGTTTTCATTTCAAATTGTTAGTAGGTACAAACATGAAAATATTACAGAGTTCACATATTCAGCGAGGAATATGACCTTGGAAAACTTCTCTGATATATTTTTCATGTTCTTATCGACAGAAAAATCGTATTCTCGAATATACTTCACTATTCGTCAAGTTATATGACTTCTGAACACTTTCAAGGCTAGGAAGTACAGTACTCGTAATAAGGTAAACAGCTCGGTAAACAGTGAATACAAGTATCTATGCCTACTACTAATTATGGACTTCGGCCTACAATACGATTTCCTGTACTTTTACTGCCTATAGGGCTGTTATACAGATATAGAAGGAAATTGCAGATGTACAGGGTGCTTCAAGAGTGAGCGGCATATATATATTCAAATTTCAACACCCTGTATCCCGAAAATGGTGTATTTTTGAGGGTAGGTTAATATGAACTTTTTTCATATTTTTTGGACGAGCTATCACATCCTGAAGTCCTGCGCATATAATATGAAACACCCTGTATAATATGTTGGGGAAGTGTGTTAGTATAATAACGTATCTACCAAATTATCAGAGCAATTGTTAAAAATATCTCACCTGGTTCTTAGCTGCATCCCCCACAAGCCTTTCGGAGTCTGTGAAGGCAACATAGCTCGGGGTAGTGCGATTTCCCTGGTCATTGGCGATGATTTCCACTTTGCCCTGCTGCCAAACACCCACGCAGGAATACGTCGTGCCTAGGTCGATGCCGATCGCAGGAGTTTTCACCATTTTTTCGCACTTTTCCGCACTTTCAGGTTCACAGCTCAATTCGCACAAATTCGCAGTTATAACACTTCGAATTTGTTTGGGGTAGGTCCAGGAAATGACTGACAGGTCACGGCGCAGTTTTCACATTATATTGTCAACATCGAGGAAGGTCACAGGATCGGAAAGGTTCGGCTTAGATCGTGGTTTTTTAATTTATATCGAGTGGAGCCCTGGAGGGTGATTCCTGATTTATGAAAATGAATCTCCCGAACAACGAAGAAGTTTGGCTATTAGATGTATATAGAGTTATTCGAAAATATTGATCCCGAAGTTATTTGGACTCGGCTCTATTAGCCATGCGGGATTGTTTTATTTGCGTCAAATTGATGTATTTACTTGAGCTATTTTTGTACAGCCGACATCAGTTGTTAAATAAATTGTGTTGTTATAACCTTCGCCTCTACCTAATGATGTGATTCGATAAAGGAAATACAGAGTGATTCATGTAGTGTTCAGCAAATCGATGATTTCAGCCTACATTATCTAATATATTGTGGGCAGGTATATCCTGATTATTTTGGGCCAGTGGCGTATCCAGAAGTGTACCTTGGGAGGATGATATAAATTGTTTTTTCAAAACAACATTTTTATTTATGATTAATGGTAATTACAATAATTTTGGGCATTTTTGGCTTTTGATTTCCAAAAGTGTATTCAAATGTTCATGTCACATGCATTTCCCAGCCAACACATCTGTGACATGATCTCTCTGAGATGTCGCGTTTATATAGATAACAGTTCGATATCACAAACGTTCCATCGCTGCGACGTTCATAAGCCATTATATCTGCGACATGATGTCGCGATGAGGCAATACTGCAATATTACGAATGTTCCATCGCTGCGATGTACAGAAGCAAACAAATCTGCGACATGACATATCTGTAATGTCGCTATGAGGTAGCACTGCGATATTACGAACGTTCTATCGCTGCGATGTACAGAAGCAAAGACATCTACGACATGACATCTTTAAGATGTCATGATGAGGCAACACTGCGATATCACGAATGTTGCATCGCTGCGATGTACACATGTGGACTTCGTATTCCAAAAATTCAAAAATTTTCTATTTGAAGCCTTGTTGGATGAAGAAGAATACATGAATATACGTTACTTAACAAAGTGAACTTACATTCGCAAACATTCGATGAATTGCTATCGAAGTATTCTTGGTTTGCTTACATCTCGCCGACACATACTACATAATTTTCGATACAAATACGAGTAACTGATCTCATCCTGATGGAAATGCGTAGGTACTAAGGATAGCGCCGCTGAAAAAAAGATTGAATGGACAGGAGACCCGAGGGACCACGAAAACTAGTCACAAACAAGGCATAATCAGAATCATTAGATGTCATCACATCGCTATTCCATCACAAATAACATATCGCAATTACATTGCAAAAATCATATTGCTGTTATATCGCACTTTCAACCATTTTGTATCTAGCAGTAAGATCATGAATTTTGAACGAGCCTGTATAACGCAGAACAAACTTCTCTCTACAGAATCAATGTACATGATCTTGATGAACTAAACACAAAATTGCAATTACCTAAGAATCCAAATACCGCAAAATAATCAATATCTCAAAAACCGTTAGAAATAGGTATAGGATAGTATGAGACAGAAATAATCAGAAAGTGATGATTTCACAAAGATGTTGCTACTTTCTGATATGAGCAGCAACGCTGCATCGTTGAAAATATTTCAGATCGATAGATCAAGAGCATTTACTTGAGTAACCAAATTTTCAGAATGATCTTATGTCCCGTTCTCCGTAAACGTCTAAGGTGCCATCGACCGTGACCCACCCTGTATATGCCGGCGTCAAACAGTGAAAACCGTCATTCTCTGGAATGCCTAGTCATTTCATGTATTGCCGGCAAACAGCGTAACTCTAAATTTCGTACACCGTTTGCCTGATAGTTTCAGGCGTTCCCTGTAATGACGGAAGGAAGGTTCTTTTAGGCCGAGTTAGCTTAGGTATTGTTTAGTAGCAGTAGTCTCTTCTGTTCTCTCAAGTAATTTTCTGAAAAATATACTTTCTAGGAAGAAGGTTCATTTAGGCGGAAAAATAGTCTCCCTTCTTATGCATAATATGCAGAAAGGATATTTTCCTTCCCCAACCCTCCGGCAAACGGAGTAACGGCTTAAAATGGAAGTTACGCTGTTTGCCAACAATACTAGGCATTTCAGGGAATGACGGATTTCACTAATTGACGCCGACATATACATATGACTTCAATTTTGTATGACGAATGTTCCACAACTCAATTCTCCTAAACTGACGTCAATGAACCGTGAAACGTAGATAGAAAACTTACATAATCTTATTTCCCTTGTATTTACAGCATGGTTCCTTATAACAGTGATACCTCATTTACATACCATTCTTACGTATCAATTATATAACATCTTCGTACCTATAATGATGCTAATGAATTATTACAATTTCACATCAATTCATTTACAACAAATTTATCTTTGTGTTATTTGTAAATCTATTTGCTGGAAATTCCACTCTGGATTCATCGGGAAAACAACCTCCAAAGATAACGCCAATTGACAGTCATATGCCCGAGATCACCTTTCGCCAACGTAATATGAGGAAGATTTTATTGGGTCTCAACACCAACAAAGCTTTTGGATACGACGGAATCCCACCGATTGTTCTCAAGAAATGAGCTCCCGAACTAACACCTGTTCTCTGCAAGTTGTTCAACTACTCTTACAAATTGGGGATATTTCCGTCCAACTGGAAAATTGCAAGAGTAGGTACAACCAGTTCCTAAAAAAGGCAAAAAGACTCTACCTAGCATCCTAGCAACTACAGACCGATCGCACTGCTATCTATTATTTCAAAGATCATGGAGAAAACTATCAACATCGAGCTCTTGAAATACCTGGAACATTCTGGTATTATCAACGATAGGCAATATGGCTTCCGTCATCAGAGATCAACTGGTGACCTGATCGCTTTCGTCTCACATATATGGCAGCAATCTATTGAAAAATATGGTGAAACCTCAGCCGTGGCATTTAATATCTCCAAGGCATTCGATCGAGTCTGGCCAAGCTCCCATATTATGGCTTGTCTTCACAGCTATGTTCTCTGCTAGCTAGTTTTCTCTCGAACAGGTCTCTCCATGTAGTGGTCGATGGAGTTTCATCTGACTATCTTAAATTACCATAAATGCTGGTATTCCGCAAGGATCAATTCTAGCACCAACACTATTTCTACTCCATATCAACGATTTGTTGAAAGCAACTCCATGTTCAGTACACAGCTTCGCGGATGATAGTACCCTCCATACTGCCTACTCTTCCATGGCTCCAATACCAGCCAGGCGAATCAGAAACGAACGAGGGAGAAATGTTGACAACATAAATATGGACTTGGCAACAATTCTCGAATGGGGATCCAATAACTTGGTAGATTTCAATGCAAACAAAACACAAGCATGCCGTTTTTCTAGAAAAGCCGATCTCACTGTGCCCAACATAAGCTTGTCAGGAGTAACCATACCATTGTAGACATCCATTTCGATGCTTGGTAGTACTATCAGCAATAACCTTTCTTGAGAACATCACGTGAGATCAATTGCTGAAAGTGCATCCCAAAAACTTGGTTTTCTATTTCGGGCCAGGAGCTATTTCACTTTCAGTCAGCTGCTTATAATTTATGAGGCACAGATCCGACCTGTCCTGGAAAACTGTTCCCATATTTGGAGTGCATCACCCAAACATACCCTGAAACTGTTGGGTTCAATCCAAAAAAGGGCAATTCGTCTCGTGAGCGTTGCCTCGCTCACAAACTCACTCACTTCTCTGGAACACCGTAGAAACAGACCTGCCGAACATCTCTTTCCAAAGACTTGTTCATCCAACGAACAGCGAGGCTCTGGAACACGACATTGCCAAGGGAGGTGTTTCCCGAGGCATATAACCTCCAGAAATTTAAGAAGAACACTTATTCCTACCTTATTTTCCTTGGTTCTCACGATGTTCTCTGAACATCACAGGATATCCCTTTTCGTGGGAACCAGAACATAAAAAAAAGTTATCAACAAGTTAGGCGAGTGCCTTGAGAATTAAATTATATAAGTTTCAGAAAATTGATTGGAACGTGAAATGAATAATATGTTCAAAAACCAGGTACTATATTCATTTTTTGGATCGAAGATATATAGTTTCTTAAAACCCATATTTGCCATGAAAAACCATTGAATGTCATTTCCGGAAATTGAAACATTTTGGATGGAACCCTGTAGATATTTTTACGTGGACATTTGTTTTCCAAATGGCAGCGCATGATACATTTTTTCCAAAATCAATAAGGCGACACTCTGACGTCGTCGATCGAATTTTTGTCAGGCGACCTAATAAAATAGGAAATAAACGAAGCACTCTGTTCCTTGATCAGTTTCTGATGAAACATACGAATATTTGGATGTACCCAGACGGCACCGGATATTCCCAGAATATCCTCTCAATATGCTAAGAAAAGATTATATTCCGAATATCCACCGAATATTCCTAGAATATATATGTGCCTCTGGAATATCCAAAGAGTATTCAAATTTAAATATTCTAGTAATATTCCAAAATAATATACACGGAATATTCCAGAAGGAATATGCAAATATGAATATTCCTAAAATATTCCAGTTGGATTGTTCAGGAAATCTCCAGGTATGTATATTCCAGGAATATTCTCAACCCAATACTCTGATTTGTATATTTATGAAATATTCCATAATTATTATTCAAATGTATTGTGTTTCAATCAAATATAGTAAAGTATAAACACCAATCACTATATTATACAGGGTATGTCATGACGAGCTTACACTATCTTTATATCGAGAATCAATCGCGAGAATCCCATGAAAATGTGCATGCTTATATCTCAGAATACGCTCTTTTCATTTAAAATATTTTCGACAATGCA